CCAGGAGGTCATTGTGAGAAACTCAGACCTTCTCGTGTTTACATAGTACTCCAGGGGCGGAAGCTGGGTGCTGGCTTTGTTATCACACAGCACTTTGAAGAATTGTGTGGCAGACAGACGGGATGTGCCTTTCACCAGACCATAAACGTAGCTTGTGAGGTGACACATGTTAAGCCAGAGAGCTGTTTCATTTTTCTTGTGGTTTGCAGGACTAGGGGTTTTCTGTTGCAGTTCAAGAACTGTCATGGGCAGTGAGAATTGGGAGGAATCTGGGACCCGCCCCCGACACAATGGTTATTTGACTGAAGCAGCTTCCCCTTGATGTTTCCAGCCTCAGGTGCCACATTTCATCAAAGCCAAGGCTTACACTTTCCAGTGGAGTTTCCACATAAAGCATCACAAATCCTTGATCCCTCTTAATGCTCAAGAAGTTTCAGATTTTGGATTTGGACTTCTGAATTAAGGATGCTCTCTAGTAAAGTCTATGCAAATATTCCAAAATCTGAAAAACTCCAAAATCTAAACTCTTGACTCCAAGAGTTTTTAGATGGGGATGGAGGAAAGACTTCCTTCACAAGAGATGAACACCTGGATTTGACCTTGAAGAATGCAGAGGAATATGACTCTGTGGAGACCACTTATTTAGTCCTGGACTGAGCTCCCAGACAGAAGGCCGTGCTCACTGTCTGCCCTGTATCTCCAATATAGCATTATACAGCCTGCAGAAGGGACAGGATAAAGCCCTTGAGATAAAAACAGCTGCCTCTGCAAAGATGCAGATTGCTTTCTGGTGCATTTAGTACAAGCATGCATGGAGATATCAAGGAAAGAAGAGGGACAGGAATTCAAGTGCGAATCTGGGCTGGCCTGTGACAGGAGTAGGAGTTTTCCCTGGGTCCTGAAGAGAGTGAAGGATGGTTTACTGGATGTCTGTGTTTGAGATTTGCAAGCTGTGTGTTGAGTATGAGAGAGATTATAATCAAGAAGACCTGTGAAAAGTGATTGCAGTCATCCAGATGAAAGAGGAAGAGAACTTAAAGAAGTAGTGGTATTGAGGATACAATGAAAGAATTTGTTCTGGAAAAGTCATTGACATTTTCTAATTCATCTAATAAGAACTTAGTAAACAGCTTGTGGGCACTAAATAATTACACAAAGTCTATGTCAGTCAGCTATATGTTACTGTAACAAAATACCTGAGATAATCAACTTATAATATAAGAGAAGTTTTAATTTGGCTCATGGTTTCAGAGGTTTCAGTCCAGGGTCATTGGGCTCTATTGCTTTTGGGCCTGTGACAAGACAGCTCATCATGGTGGGGAGCAAGTGATAAGGCAGATCTCGTTATCTCATGGCAGCTATGAAGAAGAATGAGAAAGAGGAACAAGCTAGAATCCTCTGGCCCCCTCAAAGGCAAACCTCTAATGACTGGAAGACCTCCCACTAGTCCCCATCTCTCACAGTTTTCACCAGGACCCAAAAGCACCGAGCCGGGACCAAGACTTTAACACATGAATCTTTGAGGGATATTTATGATCCAAACTATAGCAGAGACCACTTCTACTATAGACATTCGGTTATCATTGTGAATGTTTTGGAATTATGTTATTTCTTTTATGAGTAAGCAATATATACATAAGGCAAAAATTCAAAATACAACCATTTATACATTTCCTTTTCCCTATAAACGCTAGCATGCCTCACCATATTTTTGTGAAATCTTGCCTTCTTTTCTCTTAACAGTGCATCTTGGAATTGGTCAATACTAGTAAAAATATAGTTGCCCCCCCTTTTAACTTTTTTTCTAACTATAGATTGTGATAGATTTTAACTTTATTGTGAGATAATTTTTGCTTTCAAAGAAGAGGCACAAAAATAATACATACCACACACCAAACTTCTCCTTTTGTTAACATCTTCTTTAATCATATATTTTAGTCAGCTTTCTCACTGTTATGACTTAAAGACCCAACCAGCACAATTGTAGAGGAGGAAAGATTTATTTGAGGGCTCACAGTTTTAGAGGTCGTAGTGCATAGAAGGCTGGCTCCATTTCTCAGGGCCGGAGATGAGGCTGAACATCATGGCAGAGAGTGTGGCGGAGGGAAGCAGCTCGCATCATGGGGTGATCAGGAAGCAGAGAGACTCCACTCTCCAGGTACAAATACATACTCCAAAGCCACGTCCTAATTCCCACCTCCTCCAGCCACACCCCACTACTTCAGTTACCAGTCAGTTAATCCCTGTCAGGGGATTAAATCACTGATTGGGTTAAGACTCTAATCATTTCTCCTCTGAACCTTCTTGCATTATCTCACACATGAGCTTTTGGGGGACACCTTACATCCAAACCATAACATCATAGAACCATTAAGACCAAGAAATTTACAAAGAAATTATAAATGTTTGAGGACATAGATCACTTAACCCGATTTCACATCACAGAAGGTATACATGATTGAAACAGCACACGGTGCCCCATAATTGTGTACAATTTATATATCAGTTTAAAAATTTAAAGGTTTTTAAAATCCTTACAATGAACTAAGCATTTTGATTTCACCAGTTTTCCCATTCGTGTCCTTTTTCTGTACCACATTCCAAACCAGGAGCCCCTTTTGCATTTGGTCAGTATTGTCTCTTCAGGCTATGACAATTCCTCATTCTTTCCTCATCTTTCATGACCTTGATACCATTGGAGAGTTTTGTCATTTGGGTTTGTCTGATGTTTTTTATAACTAGGTTGAAGTTATGCATTACTGGGAAGAATACAACTGAGGTGGTAAGGTTAATATGTCTTATGACTGGTGACATCAACTTCAACCACTTTGCTAATTAAGGTATTATCATGATTATGACTTTTGGAGGCAAACCTCTCCACAGACTGAGAACCATTTATAGGATAAATGCTTAGATGTGGATAAAAGATCATGTTTGCTCATATGTAAATTTTGTAATTGTGGTCCCCCATAACACAAGATGAAACACGTAGAAAGGTGTGCAAAATCCTAAGTATACGGTTACATTCATTTTTCACAAACTGAGCCCACAATTATGACTTGTACATCAGGAAGTAAGCATCATGGCGTCCTAGAAGCGTCCCTATTACCCACTTCTATTCCCTCACCATAGCAATAACCACCATTTTACTTTCTGGACCCACAGGTTAGTATTACCTGTCTCTGAACTTTACATGAAATCACATGTATTTATCAGTCATTCAGAGATTTTGCCCAGTTGGTCTCCATTCACATTTTCATAAGCAACATAGGAAAGTACCTGCTTCCCTGCGCTTCACCCAGTGTTTCTGATCTTTGACAGACAAAGCATTTAAGGAATGAGTCTAGTGCAGGTGGAACTGCATTTCTTTCATTAGAGTTTGAACATTTTTTCAAGTATTGATGAGCCAGTTTATTCTTTTCTGTAAACTATCTTCCCCACCCCCAACCACCATACTGGGGGTTCAACCTTAGGGGCACTGTGCCACTGAATGTATTCCCAGCTTTTTTTTTTTTTCCTTCTTTCTTGGAAACAAGGCCTCGCTAAGTTGCAGAAGCTGTCCTCAAACTTGAGGTCCTTTGGGCCTCAACCTCCTGAATAGTTGGGATTACAGGCATGTACCACCATGTCCTGCCTGTAAACCGTCTTCTTAAATCATTTTTTATTTTAGGTTATCTGTATTGGATTATTGATCCTTTTAAAATGATTTGTTAGAATTTTTTATATTAAAGAAATTATACCTTTAGCTAAAACATGAGTTTTAAATGTTCTTTTGTGTAACCTGTGTGTAGGAAGTGGAATATATCTAAGTCTCATCATGACTTCTTGCAGTATTTGTTTTGTTTTGTTGTGGTACTAGGGATTGAACTCAGGGGTGCATTACCACTGAATCACATCCCCAGCCCTTTTTATTTTTTAGTTTGAGATAGTTCTCCCTAAGTTTCTGAGACAGGTCTTGAACTTGCAATCCTCCTTCCTTTTCAAACTTCTTAAAACTTCTTGAAATGAACACTAATTTTTCTCCCTGTGGGTTAACACATATGTTTGAGATTCTGAATATTATTCCAAGTACTGTGTGCATCTTGATATGTAATGTTTTCATTTTCATTATTTTCTTCATTATCTGCAGTTTGGATTGTGATTTTTCCCTTTGACCACAAAGTTGTTTTAAGGAAGAGTTTTAAGATTTTCAGGTGGAAAGGTTATTTATTCCCTAGTACTTCTAAAATTTAGTTCCTATTTTATTACATTGTACTGTGGTTTTAATTTCCATATTTTTTGAGGCTAGTTTTAATGACCATTCCATGACATTGAAGGTGTGTTTGTTTTCAGGGTCTAGAATTCTGTCAATAATATCTAACTTGTTATGTTATTTAAATCTTTTATATTCTTATATTTTTGTCCATTTGTGATAAATTAAGATGAGGTAAACTCTTCTGCTAATTTCTTTGTTGTTGTTGTTTTTCCTCCTGTTTCAAGCAAATTTTGTTTCATGAGGTTTAATGCTAAGCTATTTTATGTATAGATATTTACAGCCAAAAATCCCCACTGAGAACTGTACTGTTAACAGTATAAGGAGTATAAGGAGGGAGGAAGATGAGGAGGAAAATGATGAATGTGATAATGTTGCTGCCAAACCCTAATTATTATTACCTAGAAAATAGTTTTGGTTTGTGATCTGAGGGATTCTTTGATAGGTAAGTTTAGCTCATTTAATGTTAGGTCAGATATCTAATCCTAGGTCTTGCACCTTGTTTTGTATTATAATTTCTCTTTGGATTGCTTCTTTTTGCTGACTCCCATTGTGCTTTCTGGATTTTCTTTGCATTTTGTATCTTATGTTTGATATTATGATTGATATTCTTGTTCCAGTGATTTCTCTGTAATTGACTGAATATATTTAATATTTAATCTTCCATGTTCCCCCCGCCCTTCCCGGGTACTTTAAAGATCATCTCTTGTCTTTGGTGTTTGGAAGTGTATCAAAAAAAATGTATCTGGAGCTTACTTCAGTACCACATATACTAAAATTGGAATTATACAGAGAAGAATAGCATGGCCCCTGGGCAAGGATGACATGCAAATTCATGAAGCATTCCATATTTTTTAAAAAGAAAACAAAATATATACCTGGGTTAAGTCTTTATTGCTTCTTACCATATTGCCAAGTTACCACAGAACATATTGGCTTAACACATTACACATGTCTTACCTGTCAGGTTCTGTGGTTTGAGGACACAAGCATGGCTTAGCCAGGCCTTCACAGCATTTTTACAAGACTGCAAAGGGTGTTGGCTCCCAGTCTGCAGTCTCATGCGAAAGTTCAACTGGGGAAGTATTCACCTCCAAGCTTCCTGAGTAGTTATTGGCAGCACTCCTTTCCTGGCAGGTTCTTGGGCAAAGCACTTCTGTTTTTTTTGCTAGCTGGTTGGTCAGAGGCTGTTCCCAGTACCTTGAAATGTGCCAGTGGAAAAGAAAAGAGAAAGTACTGACAGTGGTTTATCAAATACAACAGTGGAATCAGAGATGTTTTAGTTTCTCAAGATATATTCCTTCTTGGAGATATATTCCTGAAGAAGGTTTAAGCTAGTAGATATATGAAAATGCTTCAAGAAGAGGGAGGAAGATGAGGAAAATGATGAATGTGATAATGTTGATGCCAAACCTTAAACCAAAAACAGTGCTTTTAAAAGCATCCTAGTTAGGACTCTCCTGGCTTAGTACCTTTGCTTTGCTTGGAAGTAGGCGTGACATCATGGGACTTCAGTCTTTCCTGTTTTCAGAGACTTCTATTTATGCTATTTTCTGGTTGAGACTGCATCTTTGTTATCTACACATTAAATAGCCAAAGGGAAACTAAGCTGGACAGCAGCTCTCTTTGACACTATACTTCAAGGCCTCTAAGAAAGAGTCTCCTGTACAGTCGAGTGCTACCAGCTGATCTGCTGCAGCTCTATGCTATATAGGCAAAGATGAGTTTGCTAAACTTTTAAATTCACAGATAGATTTTGAAGAGCTTCTCAATATCAGTTGGATAAATTGATATACATATTTGAAGTTAGTTCTTATAAACAACTAGATCCAGTTTTCAAGTCAAACTATCAAATCAAACAAAGGTATATTACCTTTGTATAAGCATATTGTTTCTAAAAATATTTTTAAATATTTTGCGTGCTGGAGGTATCTCTCATCTTACTCTTCTTTATACCGTGATAATTATTTTTACTGTATACAAAAGAATACCATAAGTCCTGTATTTTCTCAACTCAGGTAAATTTTTAGCTCCTGTCTTTCCAGTATCACTTTCTCTAAAAATAAAGAGAGAAAAAATTGTAACTTACATCCAGTAAAATTGTCCTTTTCTAATGTCCACTATGAATTTTGACGATTGCACAGTTTTGTAACCAATCAATACACAGAGCATTTCCATCATCCTGCCCCTCACAGTTGGTCTCTTTCTTTATTCCCAGGCAAACACTCAAGTTTTCTATTCTTAGTGATATTTAAAATTTCTTTTAAAAATGAAATGTCTTTAAGTTAAAAAAAAATTTAAAGCAAGCCAGTAGTTTTTATCCCATAGTCAAAAGGGTGGTGTCCCTCAAAGGTGTGCATAGTGAGAGACAGATGTCACTCCATAATGGAGGATAGCCTCCCGATATTAAGTGGGGATCTCTATTCTGACTGATCTTTGCTGTCAGCTTGTGTCTTCTCCAGTCTTTCTTCTGCTCCAAATCTACTCTCTCAGGCATATTAACATATGCATGCTACTATTTCCTTCTTAGTCCTCCCTGTTTCTTTACCCATCATTTGTATTTCCCTTCTTCCTTTTGTCTTCATATTTTTAATGCTTTTATTAGTGTATTATACTTATACATAATAATGGGATTCATTTTCACATATTTGTACATCCCCTCCTCCATCCCCCTTCCTCTACTATATTGGTCTTCCTTCTATTTATTCATTTATTTGTTTATTTTAAATTGGTACTTTATGGATATACCTAAAAGTGAGTCCATCATGGTATGCTCATACAGGCACATAGCATGTATGTTCAATTCCATTCTAGCCATCAATTCTCTCATTCAGTGATGTTACCATTTATTGATTTTTTTCTTCTAAAATTATATATTTAATTTTTAAATGTTTGTTTCTGTATTCTTCTTCAAATTTTTCCAGTCATGCTCCATAATATCTTGCTGTTAGCTTACATATACATGACATTTTTAGTGTGCCTGTATTTTGACTGTGACCAGCACAGGAGGTCAGGAGTGGAAATTTCCTACTGTTACTATCTATCCTGTTGGAGCTTAAAAAGTTTCAGATTTTGGAACATTTCAGATTGTGAATTTTTAAATTAGGGATGTCAACTTGTACAAACTTCCTGGTCACGTGTCCTTTCCTTGTGTCTTATCAGCATTTCTCTTCTGCTTCTGATGTAATGCTATTGCAGAGGCATCTGCACATGGAAGATGTCTTTTCCTGTTATCTGTGATTTGATGCAATTGCCAGGCTGTCCAAAGAATATTTGCTTTATCTTTGACATCTAATAACCTATCAGGACATGCCTCTGGGCTCATCATTCTTTGCCATTTTTCTTGGAACAAAGTTTTCCTTTCCAATCTGAGACTGAGATGATCTTTCATTTCAGGTCAGGGTCTTGACTTCATATTAAAATACCCTTTCTGTTACCTTATTTTAATTTCTTTCTTTAGACTGTGTTTCTGACCCAGCCTGAGCCTCTTGACCTCCACAGATTGCCTCCTGGTTCTGTCATGTGGCAAAGGATGACAGACTTTGGAGCACTTTATAATTTGTATAGCATGATGCGAATTCCAGCTTTTAATCTAGAAGACATTGCAGTGACAGGCAGTCATGTGGTTCACCCATTTGTCTGTTAGTGAAAATGAATTTGAAGCAGAATGACTGCTTGGCTTGAGCCCACAGGGCAATGCTGGTGGTCCAGATTGGGTCAGAGACTGCAATTCCAGAGTCTCTTTTCTGCTCATTCCCCTTTTCCTTCTTTTTAAGTTGAACACAAAATTGACCACCATTCGGATTCTCAACACCATGGTTTTACTTGTCTTTGAACTTTACATAAATAAAATCATACGTGATTCCATCATTCTAAGCATCATATTTTGTCTATTGTTCATGGATGTTTGGGTGGCTTCTACCTTGAGACTAACCCAAATAGCGTTGGAATGTCTTTGAGGAATATTTGCATAGAAATAATGAGATATCTTGAGAATGGGTCCAAGTCTAAATACAAAGTACATTAATGTTTCACATAAACCTTAAGCACATAGTTCAAACATAATTTGTTACATTATTTTTAGTGCACCACCTCTGTTTTCCTTGTAACCCATCACTTGAGGTCAGTACTTTGACCCCTGAGGAACACACGCACAGGTCTGAACATACTTAGGAGTAGAATTGCTGGGTATTGGAATGCATGTCTTCAGTTTTAGTAAAGACTGCCAAAGAGTTTCTAAAGTTGTTGTTTCAAGTTATAATCTTATCACCAATGCACAAGAGTCTTGTAAACGCTTGGAATTCCCATCCTTTTCATTCTAACCATTCTGGTGAGTATACAAAGGCATCTGATGGTGGGTCTTAATGTATTTTTCTCTGTTAACTAAAGAGATTGAGCAAATTTTCTTATATGTTTCCTGGCCATTTAAATATTCTCCTTTGGGATGTATCTGTTTAAGTCTTCTATCCATTTTTCTGGGTCTTCTCCTTAATTGATCTAGAGAAAGCTGGGGTTGTTTTCTTCTTTAACTACATTCTAGTGCACACACTTTGTTGGTTATATGTATTAAGATTGTTTCCCCCATGTGTTACAAATACCTTCTTTCATTTTCTTATAGTTGTCTTTTGTTAAACAAAAATTCTTAACTTTAATATAGTATAATTCATTAATTTTTTCATTTCTGGTTAGTATGGGGAGGATTCTATTTGAGAAGTCTCTGCCTAACCTTGTTCTCCATCTCTTTGATGGTTAGAAAAGGTTTATGGGAAAGTACTGTCTATAAAGTGCATAATAAATGGTTCACACCACCTTCTCCCCCCCTCTCCTGATGTGGCTGTTATTCCTCTTCATCCCAAGCACTCCTACCCCATAAATTCCCTCCTGGGTCAGCCTTGCCTCATGAACACGTGTCTGCACATGGATGCAACACTCTCGAAGAACTCTGAGGTCAAAGTGCAAGGAATCAAGCATTTAATGAGGTGCAGTCAGTCTTTATGGGACCAGCTGTGCTGCACTCAGCGCTCTCATCTTTTTACCACTCCGTTGAGAGGTGAACAGTAATAGGAACGTGTAAGCTTTTCTGAACAGTATTCCACTAGAATCACTGACTTCTTTAAGGGCACAGATAAGCTTCTACATATTTGCAAAGGGGAAAGGGCTGCTGTGGGCTTTTCTTGGCTCTTTTTAAAAGCACCTTTCAGCTCTGTTTTCCTTCCCTTTCTCTTATTTATTTTTGTCCCTTAGACCTCTAAACATTTTTTTTTTTGACAGTAGACAGCACAGTTGTGCATCTAGTCCATGCAGATGTTTGAGATTACTTGGATCGGCAGACCTCTAAACTAAGCACAGCACACCCTTTGCAAACCATACCATAACTGTGCTGTCCATATCACAGGGGCCCCCACTCCTTGCCTGAGGCACACCAGCAGATCCCCTAGCCATACTCTGGAGGATCATGTCTCCCCATTCCAGCTCAGGCCTCTTAGCCATGATTGGGTTTGGCATCCAGGAAGCACTGTGTCTTTAAAAGATCCTTAAGCACATCTGTTTTCAATTTTCAGGCCATGAGGCAAGGATTTGGGTGCAAGTAGTTTATCTGGGAAGTGATCCCAGGAAATACCGTGAGGGGGCTGTCTATGGCAGGGGAGAAGTCAAGAAAGGTGCATTGATGGGTAGCTGACTGTCATGTGCAATAGCGCTATCCCGCCTGTAACCTCCGAGCAAAATGATGCCTCAGAATCATTCCCTACCCCCCAAGTGGGATATGGGTGCTGCCTGACACCCCCCCCCAATCACCTCATAGCTAATGATGCTGTCTGCATGTAAGTCGTTTGGGGAAGGACACTGGCCACGTCAACCTCAATGATTTTGATGAATTGTTTCATTCTGAGCACTTTGCCAATGTCCACATTTCTTATTAATACAGTTGAGAGTCTGTGTTTTTAAATGCCCATTCCTGTTTCAGTAGAATTAATTATTGCAATTGTATAGTTGTGCAGTTGTGAAATTCTCTAGAAGAAATGCTGTGAGAAATTATGCACAGCTTAGCTGAGTTAGAAACCAGGCAGGGAATGTGGAAGGCTGCCTCTGTAACCCCATGGGGTTCAGGCCCTTCATCTGGACTCTCATTTCTGAGCCTCATGACAGTTGCTCAGCCCTCTGGCCTCAGCTTCTTCCAACAAACCCTCTCTAACGAAGTTAGGTTACATTCATTTCCTGTGAGCTCAGTGCAGCCGGTGGGTGCCTGCCTTATCCCTCAATACATTAAGTGGAAGCAATTGTTTGCTTATTACTCCCAGGAGGCAGAGGCTGTCTCCCTGATGCCTCTTAGATCCTCATTACCAGATGGTGGACTGTTAAACTCAATCCTATGAGACAAGCCCTCCTAGGAATAAATTCGCAGAATTTCATTGAGCTCAATAAACCAGATGAAACGATGCTCCTGTTTTCTGAACATCTCAATTCATGACCCTCCCTCTTCCCTACATTTCAGATCCCAAATTCAAGGTTAATTGGACTACACTTCTGACCCCAGTTATAGCCTACATGCATGTGGGTGTTCTTGTCAGTCACAGTTCCTTTCCATGTTCTGTAGCATCTGATGTGCGCTGGACTGTGGTGCCTGGTAGAAGGAGATACGTCCTGCAAGACCAAGCTGGATCCTCCCCTGGATGGCACCGAGTGTGGGGCAGACAAGGTAACCCCCTGCCTCCTACCACTGCCAATAGCAGCCCCACTCTCCTGGGTACTGGACACATTTCCTTCTGAGAGGAAGAGTGTCTTCTGCTCAAGATCCCCTGGAATATCCCACAGTCACTGCAGAAATGCCCATGGAGCCCACTGCAGACACATGGGTGCCCTCATTACCTCCTTTTTTCATTTAAAGATGCAAGAATTATTTACTTTAGTATATTTTCTAGAATAACTCCTTTTGTGCCATGAGTTAATTTACTTAAAAGGGAATCTTTCCATCAGTTTACTTGAAATGGAAAACAATTGCACTTGCTGAACACAAAAAGTTAACATGCAATGAAGTTGATAAGAACACTGTTGTCCAGTTCTAGCTAGACATTAAGAGGGCAAACCTGATCTTCTTGGACAGGAACGATTTTAAATGTTAGGAGGAGAGCTGGCTGGAACCAGCAGCCATACAGCTTTGCCCTCAGTTTCATTGCAATGGTTGAAAAGAAAGTCACGGTTCATCCTGATACCATGATTGGGAGCCACTAAATCACACACTCACTCTGGGAACATGTGTTTTAGAGGATTGGCTTCTTATCCTTAGAAAGAACCACAGTGATTGACATGGAGCTGGCTCTCATCCCTGTGCACCAACCCCCACCCTAGAACCCATAACAGAGAGATAGACGGTCATGTTAAGCAAAGTTTGCCAATGCTCAGGTTCCTTCACAAGCTATGCAGAATTATCCTTTTTCCGAGAATTTATAAAATCCCAATGGGCCACTTTGTATGGGGAAGTTTGAGGAAAAACCCAAACCCCAGAGAAATATAGATAGGTATCAGATTGAGCAGGTAGAATCAATAGACAACAAATATGCACATCCTGTAATAGTCTACTTTTATGTAAATTTCAAAAATCAATTTGGGGCCTTATGGAGGGACCCGCAGTCCTTGGGGAAAGGAGAAGCTCTGCTGAGTGCTCAGGCCCAGCCCTCCCTCCTGTGTTTCAGTGGTGCCGTGCTGGGGAGTGTGTGAGCAAGACGCCCATCCCGGAGCATGTAGATGGAGACTGGAGCCTGTGGGGTTCCTGGAGCATGTGCAGCAGGACATGTGGGACAGGAGCGCGGTTCCGGCAGAGGAAATGCGACAACCCGCCGTAAGTGCCCCTTGATCAGGCCTTCTCCAAGGTGCCTCCCTGGGTCTGGCCCACCTGCAGTTATATTGCCTTATACCAAGAACCAAGCATGAGGAAAGTGCGATAGAACCAAGGTCGGGTGCAAGGGCTCAAGTGTCAGATGGCATCTCGGCTTCTCTAGAGCTCTCCCTGAACATGGACGTGAGGAGTCCTGTGGTGAGCTGGCTTCTTGACTCCCTGCCTAGGCTCTGGGAGAGAGATTTCCTGAGACAGCTGGATTGCAGTCTGTCTCGCCGGCTTCGTGGTTTACTTAGTCAAGGGTCATTCTCCGGAAGCCTGTAGACCTTCCGGAAATGGAGTCCAGCCTTCAAATTAGCTGTTGGCTGACTCTGAAGCAGGCTTCTTGTTCATTAGTCCAAAGAATCTGTGTGTTTAGCAATCTTGTTCATCGGAATACTTTTCACAAGTCTTCCTAGAAGTATTTGACAGGAAAAAAAAATGGGGGTGGGGGTGTTTTTTTCTCTTCTCAGTTATTTTACTGATTACAATGACACCAAGATCTTCCTGATTACCCTTGGATCCAGAGATAGATTTGAGCTCAATTTTTATGAGTTCATCAACACAAGTTTTCCCTTTACTCTTTGTTTCGCAATTTAAAGTGTTTCTTTTAATGGTCTGTTTTCTGTCTTGGGTGTCATGTCAATTTGGAAAATGAGCAAGTTGTAAATAATGACTAAGAAAGAAATGCTTTATATGCACATGTATGTCATGTCAATGAAGAATTAGCAAGTACCTCTTGTGTTTAGAAATTCTGATGCTCAAGCTTTGTTAATTAAATCACACAGACGCCGTTGGTGGGCCACAGAGAGTGAATGCCTTCAGTCTCTCAGATGATTCCAGTGGCCAGCCAGGACCAGAGACCTCCTGGATAAAGGAAGGCATGTGCCCATAGTTCAGTCAGTGACTAAAACATATATGGCAGTGCATAGTATGTCTTTTCACAACATAATACAGAGTAGTTGGCACATAGTAGGCATTTTATCTATTGGAAATAATTTCTTAACTAAAAGCACAAATGGGTAGATGTTTAGAAACTCTATTTGGCTAAATGCTAAGAAATTAATAAAGGGGGGTTTCAATTTTTACAGTTTTTTTTTATGTTGAAGTTAATAGCTTGACCTCTGGCCCCAAAAAGAGAGTTGTAGGTTTGGATTCATGGTGCTTTGGTTTGAGCCTGGCTCTGTTGGTTATTGGTCATATGATCTCAAGGAAGTCCCATGTGTGGGCCCCTGTTTCCCCATTATGGGGAGCAAGAGGGTAGAGCGAAGCATCTCAGGGCGGATAAGTCTTCAACCCCAGAAAAACTCTTTATTTTTTAATTATTTTTTTAGCTGTAGGTGGACACAATACCTTTATTTTATTTATTTATTTTTATGTGGTACAGAGGATTGAACCCAGGACCTCACACTTGCTAGGCAATCATTCTACCATTGAGCTATAGCTCTAGCCACCACCCCCCAGTATGGCTCTTTATAGCAACTGATGTCTCACCATCTACAAGTTGGAATAACTGATGGAAATGCATGTAAAGTCCTTGGTCTGTATTGTTAGCACTTTAGAAGATGGGGATGAGACCTAGTCCCACACTATCCACCTCACAATTCTGCCTGGTGGCTCTGGGGTGGGTGACTTGGGTGGAAAACCTTTAAGTACAGAAAAAAAATTTGCTCGGGTCATGGTTTTCATGGTTGTCCCCTGTTTGTGACTGGAGCTTGTGGGCTCTGGTTCAGGTCTTGCCTCCTACATCATTACACACCAGGTAACTCCCAGTAAACATCACAGAAGGGAATAGTAGGGCCTCTAAATGTCTGAAGGCCCTTATGTCCCAGAGGGTGGACAGTTTAGATTGTGTTTAACACCTGCAAGAAGATGTTATAAGTGCTGGCCAAACATACTAGACACGGCCTATGTGAGACCCACATTGTCCTTTTGCCTTGGAATGACGTAGGCTAGGGTATCTCTCTAGTCGGCAGCATCAGAGGAGGCTTTCTAGAACTTTGTGGCTTCCAGCTTTGACTGGTCCCTATCACTGTTCCAGCTGCGTCCTGCCCTGCCCACTTATGGTGGCTCTGGGCTACCACAGGGGCTTCTTGTGATGAGAGGCTCCTGAAGATCCCCTAGTTCAGAGGTGCATCAGCATACCTCTCTGGTTTGACCTGCCAGAAGGGTTCCTGTGTTAGGATTCTCTTCTCATTCCTCCAAGCCCAGTCACCCCAAAAGAGAGGCTGATCTGGAAATCACAAAATTGTTATAAAAACCTCCTTTCCTTATTCTTCTTTATCATGCCCCCACCTCGTGGTGGCCATGAATTTTACCTCTTTTTGCCCACCTTTGTGCATGTCACCACTGAGAAATGGGGGAATGGGTAGGACTGCCACACCTGGCCACTGAGGGTCTGTGGGTTACAGCACCTCTGACTATTATGAACACAGAGACACCTTCACTGCTCATCTCTGCTGTCCAGCAAGGCCCTGTGGGGCAGGGCAGTGGACAAGTACCAAAAGAGAAAGTGGGTGTTCTCACTGCTCCCAGGTCCATGCTCCTTCCCTGTGATACCGTTTCACCACCATGCCTTTGTAAGCCTTGACAGGATCCTAAGTCTAGACCCTGTGAAGTGTGGGCCTACAGTGACAAGCAATGACAGATGAAAGCCCTGCCCCCTCCAGGGGAATACTCCCATAGACTTCCCTTGTTTTTTTCCTCCAACTCTTTAAACCAGACTCTTTCTAAGCTCTGCTGTCTCTTCTCAGCCTGCTTCTGCCCTCTTGGTACATAGCACCTTCGACCAGTGCACTACTCAAACACAAAGCCCCCTGTGTGCAGGTGCCATCCCTTGTCTCTTTTCTACCTCCTTCACATATGACCACGTTAAGAACAGCAAATGCAGCGGGCGCTCACCATGTGCCAGGTTCCCCTAGGCATTTATTTTTATGCTTCTATTAGTGCATTATTATAATTATATATAATAGTCGGGTTCATTTGGACCCAATCATATGCACAAAGTTTAATTTTCTCCATTTGAGTCTCTGGTTGTATCTTACACCTCTTTCCCTCTCCTCCTCCCTCCCCATACCCCATTCTCTACTCTACTGGTCTTCCATTTATCTATTTTTAATTGGTGCTTTATAGATATACATAGAGGTGGAATTCACTGTGGTATACTTAGACATGCTCATAGCGTAATTTTGTCAAATTCATTCTGCATTTCCTCCCCTTTTCTGTCCCTCCTTCATCCTCCTCAGTCGCCTTCTTCTGCTCCACTGATCTTCCCTCTATCTTTACGGTATCTGACCCCTATACTTTATCCCCTTTACTTTGCTCTAGCTTCCACACACAAGAGAAAACCTTTGACCCTTGATTTTCTGAGTCTGACTTATTTCATTAAGCATGATATTCTCCATTTCCATCCACTTACTGGCAAATACCATAATTTCATTCTTCTTAATGGCTGAGTAAAACTCAATTGTGTATATAAACCACATTTTCTTTATCCATGCATCTGTTGACGGGCACCTGGGCTGGTTCCATGACTTGGCTATTGTGAAAAGCACTGCTATAAACATTGATGTGGCTGTATCACTATGGTAGGCTGATTTTAGTTCTTCTGGGTAAACATCAAGGAGTGGGATAGCTGGATCATATGGTGGTTCCATTTCTAATTTTCTGAGGAATCAGAAAACTATTTTTTCCATGCTTTCCAGAGTGGTTGTACTAATTTGAAGTCCCATCAACAGTGTCTGAATGTACCTTTGTCCCCACATCCTTGCCATAATTTATTATTACTTGTGTTTTTGATCATTGCTTAAGCATTGATTTAGTAAGTAATTTCAGGCAGCTGTATGGGAGAGGCATCTTTTTGAATTCCTGTTGTGTAAATACAAAACTGAGTCAGAAACAAGTTAGGTAACTTGCCCAAGGTAGCACATCTAGATGGTAGGGGGTTGGTTTTGGAGCTCAGTCCTGGAAACCAGAAATCCAAAATCAAGGTGTGTGCTGCATTGGTTCCTTCTTGACACTGAAGGAAAATCTGTTTCGTGCCTCCCAGGCTTCCAGTGGCTCTGAGAGTCTTTGGCTGCCATTGGCTTATAGAGGCATAGTGTAGTCTCCATCTCCATCTTCATGTGGTTTTTCCTTTGTATATCTGCCCACATTTTCTTCTCTTAGAAGGACACCTATCTCTGCACTTAGGCCTTATCTAATCTAGGATGATCTCATCTCAGGGTCCTTAATTGCATCTCCTAAGATCTTTTTTTCTCAATGAAATTATATCTAAGTGGACATGTCTTCAGGGGGCCCAAGGGGCCAGCATTCAACCCATTCCAGCCTCAAAGCCTCTTTTCTGTTCCTCAGACACAACGTTCTCACGGAGGCACTTGGTTGCCCCTCTTTTCCTTTCCCCAACATACCTTTGTGTCTTTGAGTCTCAGTGTAAATAATGTTTCCTCAAAGAAACCCCTTCCTGACCACCTGTCTCCCTTAGCACTGAACATTACAGGTATTATAACATTAGGTGATCACTGTTACTTCTTGGCTCACTTGTTTTCCCTTTGACCTCCCTGGTGGCCTTTGAACATCCTGAAGATCTGCAACAGGTCACACCTGTGTGGGCTCCATCCTGCCTTCTGGGTCTGCACAGAGCAGCTCCTCTGTCAATGTTCTTATCACCTCACACCCTGGCTGCATGCTTGGCAAGAAGAGCAATCTCTTCAGGGCCTCAAAATGCATTCCTAATACCTTTCCCCCTGAGAAACCCAAAACTTATGAGAAATTATTAGACCAGAAAGATAGAGCACCGGGTAGGCCCCCTTCCCTTTTATCATCTCACCTCACTGAAGCCTGAATCCTCTGATCAGCCAGGCAGTGCAGTTCAGGTCCCCCTACACCTGAGTTCCACCATCCTTGCCCTGCCCCAGGGAGGCTCTTGCTCAGAGCCAGAAGTCTCAGTAGCATCTCAAGAATAA